AAATGAGGCGACTGAGGGCAGGTGTCTTGCTGGGTTTTCAAGTGGAGACTGGTCCTATTATACAGAAAGCTTCTGCATCCAAAAACTGGTAATCAGAAGAAGGGCCTACTGAATCTTGAGCCATCTCAGGAAAAGAGAGGAGGTAGTGTACCTTCACGGTGGCCTGCCAGGCCCTGCAGGAGACAGTGCACACATCGCATAGTTCTGGGGCTAGGATGTCCAAGGTTAGGGCTCTGGCGAAGTCAGTATCTGATGAGAGCCAACTTCCTGCTTCATAGACAGACATCTTTTTGCTGTGTCATCACATATTGGAAGGGCCTCTTTAATTTTTATTAAACTGTGCAGTTCAACTATTTTTAGTGTATTTAAAGAGTTAGGCTGGCCATCACCATGGCCAATTTAGAATATTTTCATCATCCCAGTAAGAAACCCCCTTATCTGTTAGGTATCTCTCCCATTTCTCCCTTTACTTGCCTCAGCCCCTGGCAACCACTGATCTACTTACTGTCTCTGTGGATTTCCTAGTCTGGACTTTTTGTATAAACATGAAAGCATGTTTCGTATGAGTGTGAAGTGACCGGCTTCTTTCACTTAGCATGGTGTCTTCAAGGTTCATCCATGTTGCAGCATATATCCGTACTTTCTTTTTATTGTTCAATAATGTTCCATTATAAGGGTACACCATGTTTACTTTATTCATTCATCAGTGGGTGGCCATTTGGGTTGTTTCCACTTTTTGGCTGTTATGACTAATGCTGCTGTAGACATTCATGTATAAATTTTGTGTGGACATATGCTTTCATCTTTCCTGGGATGAAATTGGTGGGAGTGAATTTGCTGGGTCATACGATAGCCCTGTGTGTCTAACTTTCTGAGGAGCTATCAGGCTGCTTTCTGAAATGACTACACCATTTTACATCCCCACCAGCACTACACGATGGTTCTGGTTTCTCCCCATCCTCAACAACATTTGTTATTGTCTGTCTTTTTTATTCTGGCCATCCTAGTGGTTATGGGGTGCTGTCTCATAGTTTTGATTTGCATTCCCTGATGGCTAATTGAATTGAATTTTGGACATGTTTATTTTGTGCTTCTGGACAGCACACAGCTGGAGATGTAAGTAGGCAGTTTGGACTTGAGTGTGAACCTTGGGAGAAAGAGCTGAGCACTGGAAGCAGTGGGCATGGACTTGGTGGTTTTATCTCTGGAGTGGATGGAACCAAGCAAAGCGAGTGTGGAGAGACTAGTGGATCTCATGTCGCATCCTGTCTTTTTGCAGTAGGACAGAGTTTCTTTGCGAGTTTCTTTTTGCAGTAGGACAGAGTTTCTTTGCGAGTTTCCCTGCAGCATTAGTCTAGCTGTTACTGTAACCTGGTCTCACCGATTACTCTTGTGGTCCTGAACACTGCTTGATTAAGAAGTAAAAAGATGATGTGTGCACTTTGTGAGTGTTAACACTTAACTCTGGCCTTATGATACAATGTAAGACCCAGCACAGCAGGAATTTGCTGAATAACTTCAGAAGCAAGAATGTCTTCTGGTTGAAAGAGAACAGCTGCTTTTCAGAGATGAAACTGTCTTGAGTAAAATTAAAGGTGTCACAGAAGAGGTTCTTCCAAGATTGCAGATTAGAAAGGAGGTAACTACATAGTCTTGACCTTAGAGTTAAGTGATTCCCCTTTTCTGCTCAGTTTGGACTCACTAGTTGTTAGTATCCCCCACATCTGCTGTTTCCCCTTCCCTCTCCTCCCCTCTCCCATGCATACATTTTTCTGAACCATTTGAAAGTAAGTTGCAAAAGTCAAGACCTGGCACCCTAAGTCTTTCCTCATTATCATGAATACTTACTCTTAGGAGTGTGCATCTCCTAGGAATGAGGACGTTCTCCATACTATTACCAAACAGGAAATGAGTGCTAATTAAATAATTTAACTTAATAAATATATACAGTCTACACTCACTTTCCCAGTTGGTCCCAGATTGTCTTTTACTGCTTTGTTTTGTTCTCTGATCAGGGAACTAGGCAAAGTTCATGCAAATCTCTTTGGTTTCTTTGGATCTAGAGCAGTCAGCTTTACCATTTTTGCCTTTCGTGAGGCTTTTCTTTGAAAACTCTTGGCCAGCAGTCTTGTAGATTATGTCGTATTCTGTATTTACCTGATTGTTTCTTAATGTTTATAGTCAGATTAAATATTTTTGTGGAGAATATGTCATGGGTGGTATGATATCGTTCTTTATTTCATATCAAGTGATGTGTTACTGTGTGTATAACTTACATAGAGTAGAATTCATTGTTTGTTTTGAAAAATGCATGCAGTCTTATAATCAGCACTATAGTCAAGATAGAGAGTGATTCCAGCACCCCTTTGTCGTGATCCCTTTCCCACTATCAGCTGAGAGCAACCACCCACCTGTGGCCTGGCCCGTAGTCCTGCCTCCCCAGGACCGTCACATTAGTACAACCATTTCACCTCTTGTTCCAGTGGCGATGGAGTCATGATATATCTCTGCATACTGCTCTTTAAGTTTCTCCTGTTGGGCTTCACTGAACATCTTGAACTAGTAAACTATGTGTTTCACCAAATTTTAGACATGTTCAACTGATACCCCGTCAGATACTTTTTCTCTAACACTTGCTTTCTCCTCCCCTTCTGGGTGTCTGGTGTCTTGTGTTAGGTCTTTTGCTGTTGGTCTCATTGTCCATTTCCGGTGTGTCCTTCAGAGTTGACAGTGTGATCACAGTTCCCCCTTTCAGTTCCATGTTGCTGTTGAGCTCATTTAGAGAATTTTACAATTTCTGATATTTTAAAGTTCTACAACTTCCAAAATTACTTTTAGTTTTTCTAATGAGAATTTGTATCTTTCCATGTGCATTCATTTGCATTTACCTCATGGAATTCAGTTCAAAATCCCACTCTAGATCGGCCAAGGATTGGCATTTTCCTTGAAACCTGGTCCCTTTTTTCTGGTTTTTGTATGTTCCGTGACTTTTGGGTAATCTTTGGGACCTTTTGGGTATTATGTTGTGTAGATTCTGGACCCTTTTGTAATCCCCTGGAGAATGCTGGTTGTCTTTATTGATTTCTTAAACAGTGAGCCCAGTTGGGTTTGGGCGGAGTCATATCTCACC